ACGGTCAAGTGTTGATGGTAGATAAAGTTGTGACATCCGCCATGAACAACAGGACCGGGTCAGGCTCGACTTATGTCGTTGAGAAGCAGAATCGAGATGGCCGTCTGGCGCCAAGGGTATCGCCGTTGCATGTGTATGGTTTCGCCTTTGCAAGCCATGAACCGGGCTGACATCGATGTCTCAGAGGGCTGGGCAAAAACCAGAGAGATGACGAAGCTGACTGACAGCAGCAACAACTTGGAAAGAAACAAGAAATGTGTTGCTCACTCAGTGTTCATAGAAGACTGATGCTCCACGATGTGCATCCCCGAACAATGAACATGCACCACCACGCAGACAATATGCAGGACGCTACGCAGGGGCCGGCAACGACAAGGCCATAGCGGCGTAGAATGTCCAGAGATGCATGCACGGGGCAAAGAGCAGGGAAATCTGAGGAGAAGAATAAAGAAGACTCAGTGTTAGTCAGACTTGAAAGTGCGTCTCTGTCCTTCTTGTCCCAAGTCTTCAATGGTGTTGCTGTCGCCGTGCGCATTGACGCGGCACGTTTCCTCTGACACCATGCAAGAAGAACTGGAATTCTTCTCCAAGAAATTTGTCAGAGGCTCCCATGTGTTGTTAGTGTTCAAAGGCAGGAAGATGCCGCTCCGCTTAGCAGTTCATGATCACGCCAGGACCAAAGCGGAAGGGAGGGTGTCATCCTGTCCCGCGCTGTCGGTAGCACCAGGCACGCCAATCTCAACAAGCGATATGCACCATGCATGGAGCAGGGCCCGAGAGGGTTCCATCTCTGCTGCACTGGACGGAATTTGGGGGTCTCAGGTTCACTTGTCACTCGGGAAATCTTTATTTGAGAATCCTGAACGCTGCTGTATATTTGCCGCGTGCAGGACCAGGAGCTACTCATGTAGGTGGCTATTTAACCGTCGACATCCCATTCGTCGGGCTTGCTCATCTCGAAACATGCACCAAGATGAGTCGTGTAGATCTTTGGAGGCAGAGAATCGATATGCGATAGACTTTGTTCCACGCTGTCAGGCTGGTGCGGAGCAAGGACCCGGGGTCCATATGGGTAGGGCTGTTTGAATCTCTTGACTCTTCTAGATCTCCCGGCTTAATTAGACCTGCCCTACCCCCGACCTCGAACTTGAATCCTTTGGTCGCTTTTCCCCGCGAGCAGACCGAAACTGAACCACAGGCTTGAACCTATGGCACTGAATAGCGTTAGATTCTCAGTAGACTATAAGCACTCTGTGGCACAGGATCAGCGTATTCATGCTGGCCTGCGCAGATTAGCTCCGACGGCAGTTAGTCGGGCAAAAAGGGGCGGAAATCAGATTATTTGCCGACCAACACCCTCAGGTCTATCTTGACAACACATATCCTGTTGAACCGACAGGCAGCCAAGTAAACAAGCACAAAGCACCCAGTCAACAGCACATCTTGATTGTGCATTTTGCTTTGGCGCCACCAGGCACAAGTCTGTTTGAGATTCCGCCACCAGCCTCACTAATACGGGAAGCCAGCTACTTTTCGTCATCTTGACCAGAAGCGGTAGGGAGGTGTGTCCAGTCGTACTACCAGGTCGGAATGCAGGCCAACGTAGATGTCTGGAGAAGCGGCAGGAGTTAACAGTATATCGCTACACCCAATGACAGCAGGCCACTACTCGCCGTATCCTGCGGCTCAGTAGTTGCTTCCAGATTCCGTACCCGCTCTTGGCAGCTGCTTTTGCTCGAGCATATTAAAGCTTTAGATGCTGATATCGGGGTACCTTTCTCGCCGTCTTGGTCACAAGAACATTAAGGGCCTTGTGCATAGGTTGTCTGCGACCCTCTCTCACACATACCATGCACAAATTCGCCGACGCTTGCGGCCACGTTGCACCCTTGGCCGCGCAACAGGTGCTGTCAGTCATTTGCGGGGAGAAGTGAGCAATGAAACATGTTTGCTGGAGCTATGATCTCTTGCTACCTTGGACACTGAGCGCTTTGATAGCTCGGCATCGCTCTGCCAGTGAAAAGAGAGGCGAAGGCCTCGCATGATGGAAGAACGCGACGGTGCTGTCCGTGTCCTGGGAGGGCCGGGCCGAAAGCAATCCTTCCGTGATCAAGGCAGTTGAGGGCGGCTACGTGTTCAGGCAAGCAGTCTGGAATTACCTTGGCTAGCAGAAGGCGGAGGCACACTTATGCGGCCAACCTAAGTGATCCTAACAATTCTCGACGCCAATAAATCCAAGCTCAAGCCAGCAGTCAAATCAAACACCGTAAGCAGGCAGAATTGGGTCGACTAACACATGCCTGGCACCGAGGACCCGGAAGTTGCCAGCACTGGAAAAGAGAGCCTGGAGAGTCGAGACAGCCAGTCATTGCAACGAGAGTAGAGCCGATTCTCCTTCCTCAGATCTTATACAGCCAGGTACCGCATACTCTTGGCCGAATAGGCTCTTGGCCAGCCCCTTTTTAGTTAAAGTTGAGCCACGGGCATGGCAGTAACATCTAATTTCATTGGCCCATGGGGTCAAAGTTACCCAGTTTCTGTCTATTCGCACTGATTACAATGATATTTCGTGGCTCGGTTTTGCCACAAGCGGTTAGCCCAGCGCCCATTCCACCCAGAGTATGCGGTATTCCATCATAGTCTTTAAACCTGATGGTGACTCTGCCTGTCAAATATCGACGTCATAAGTTTTCACCTCGCCGCATCATATTGCTATATTGTGTCACAAATAAAGAAACCCCAGTGAAAAGTCTCCAGGTCGTGAAATCCAGCCAGGGCTAAAGCTATAAAAGAGAACCGGCATCACTGGATGACCTCCGAGACACAGGACCAAAGCCAGAGCTGATCAAGGACCACACTGCCCTCCAATCCGGAGTTCTGGAGCCTCGTAACAGCCAATAAAGCACTTGCGGACTCACTCGGTCCTATTTTAAACGTATTCCTAGCCTGCTTCTCACGTATCCCAAGCGGCCGCTTCCGAGTCATCAATCGTCTCAAGATCTAGATCATCGAATAAAGGTCTTAATAATAACGAGAACACTACCTGGAATAGTAGCCTAACAATGATAGTTTTCTGCAATATACTGCATCAAAGACTGTAATGTAAAAAGGCAACCATCGATCGCAAAGAATCCTAATATATTCTCAAGTTACAGGTCCACACAGCAATACTCAGTTAAAGAATTCCACAGTCAGACACAGGACCAGACTGCACGGGTCCTCAGAGAGTGTATATACCTCGCCATATCATCAAGCAAGACTAGAAATAAAAGATCTACTCCGTGGAAATACATTCTCAATAAGTAAATTATTCACTACTTATACACTAGACAATCATCTTTTATTATACCAGAACCAAGGTAAGAACGTATATATAGCCCTTCTTCCTCCGGCTTACCGTCTTCTCCTCCTCGTCATCTCGTTCGGAGTGGCCGTGAGCCGCGTGTCGGCTGCGACCTATCTCGGTGGTATCAATGTCGACGAAGCTTGCCGCGTATTGAAATCGGACCAGGGCCATACAACTAGCCCTGTATAACAGGCCGGGATATCTACAGTGCTTTCAATAGCAGGGACGTCGACCTCAACACCTCGTGTCGGTGGAAACATGGGGGGACGGTTATGCAAACTCTCAGAGCGGTGGTGTGTACCACTGGGGTTGCTTCAGTGACATTGGCTCTTGCGTTCCGTTGAAAGTGCCGATGAAAAGTTCTCGATAGGGTCCTGATATATCTTTATATCTAGACCGGCAAACAATGAGGAACGCAGGGTGCCGCGGCGTAACAGGATACTTTGTCCGCAATGTCAACAGGTTCTAGTATCTTATTTTCTGGACGCGATGTTTGTTCTTACCGCACGCAATCTGGAAAAGCTGCAACTAAACGAGGCTTAGCAGAGAGATCTAGGTAGGGGTTCTAATGTTTTTTCCTTCCTGTTGCCTCCTCCAGAACTTAGAATCCAGCTGTATCACTAACCACCGGAGCAGGTCAATCATGACCTACCGCAGACGCTTGCACGAAGGATTTGGCGGATACTGAGTACGGCCCTTAACCAAACTTGCAGAGGTTGTAACTTGACCGCCCCTATTGGAGACTGGAGGAGACTATGGGTATATTACTAGTATCTCACAGTATTGGATGATTGATCTGAGGACATGGTGACTAGGGAAGCATGGACGCTGATGGTTTGTGAATATTTCCCGACTATTTACAAGCTGTATTACGACAGGCAAGATACAACTAGGCCCGCTTCACGAATCCCAAGGCTGGCTATCCCAAAGTTACAATACTATCCTACCCGTTATCTGAATTCAGGTGACCCGAGATGCTGCATCATGTCCATTACGATTTTTTTCACCCAGGTTCTCGGATATGATCCCCTGAACTTATGAGGTAGTCAAGGGCTAAGATTATGCATCGGATGGGAATGGATTCAATGATCATATGAGACCCAAGCTGCCGTTGTCACGCGAACCAAGGTCTTACAGTCACAAAGTAAATAGAGTGTATTAGCAGGGAGTAATTAAAGATGGAAAGCAAGAAAATAATTTGCTTTGGGCTTAGTTGGTCACGGCCGAAGCAGCAATGAGAACCATTCTTGAGCGTCATATTATACATTAACGTAGCTCCTTGCCCCTTAGATATCAAATGTTCGTGCTCTCACACGTGGGTGATCCATAGAAGGACTCGGAGCAAGTGCCACATGCCCTTTAAGCACTCAGAATTTAACCTCACCTGATTATGGGCTCGTTTGCCTTACGTGGGACATTTCGGAATAAGCCCGGTGAGAGAAATAAGCATATAAACAGCGGTTGGGGGATTATTCTACAATTAGTAAAGCAAGAAGCCAAGGACCAGCAAGGCCAGACAGCTAGAACACAAGAAAGGAGGAGAATAGAGCAGTCTTGTTTGACTGTCTCGGAAACAAAAGTGCATCTTGTTCCCAATCCATTAGGGAAAGGAGGCAAAAAGAACTGCCAATCTCAAACACGGATCAAAAAGCTACTCGGATACGGGGAGTCGAACCCCGGGCTGGTGAGGAACCCAATCATGAGAGTCACCGATGTTACCGCTACACCATACCCGATTTGAGAGCCGGGAATGGCTTCCGAAGGTTGGTTGAGGGTATGGAGAGGAACACGGCTCTATGTACCGTATCTACTCAAAAAAGTGAAAAATTACTAACGGCTAGTTCCCGCTCGGTTTTGCGGACAAGAAACTGAAAGTGGTCCACTTTCACTTGCGCTTAACCTCTTTCTCTTGCCTACTAGGCCTACTTGGGCCTTATAAATTTTTCACTTTCTTGAGTAGATACGGTAGTTAGGTTAGAGTATATTTCTTTGTTTTGTTTGTGTGTTTCCCCCTTTTTAGGGCCCAACTGGTGGATCCGTCCGAGGCAGGGTGGAGCGAGGGTTGAAAGGTAAAATGTGTGGAGACGAGTTCTAACCCAACGAGCTCGTAACCCAAGCAGCAATCTGATTGCATTCGACTGCCAGTGTGTCCATTGTTGACTTCCCCTTTTTGTGCCAGTGCTCCCAGTGGTGCCAAGACCCCTTTCATCTATCCCACGTCCGGGTGACCGACCCTGCCTCTTGCATTCAAGACAAACATGATGCAGGGACCCGACAAGGTCCAGGTAGCCACTGCAGATTGCAATGGACTCGTCTCGTGCTTTGTTTGTTTCTCCTTTCGGGCGATGTGTCCCGGTGTCGTCTGGTTGAAACTGCCCCTTTTGTGTGATGGGCCTTGGCCTCCGAGACCTCAAAGGGACCGAATATGTGAGATCCGAGCGCAACAGATGGAAGGATTATCAAGAAGGGATTGTGTGTGTGACCGGCCTGTGGCTGGTTGTATCTGCATCTTCACGTGCCGTCTCTGGTGAGTGGTGTTGACATCTCAATGCAACCAACCATTTCTCGCCAACCTCTTTTCTTGGGTGGTCGGGTCCGGTCCCCGAATGGGTATGCTGTCTTGTTCCTCTTGGATCTCGCTACAGCCTAGAGCCTACCAGACAGCCAGACACAAGACGAAATTAAGAAATGCAAGGAGGAAAGAAGCCCAAAGTGGTCATTCACGTCCAGGCCTCTTGCACACCAAACATCGCAGGTGGACGGAGAAACGTGGGTTGACATTATAAACCCGATACACAACCTCGAAGAACTGCCCAATCCGGTAAGACGGAGGACGCAGACTGATAAGTGCGGTAAGCGGAATATACGAGGCCAAGAGGCGCAGAGTGAACGAGTTAATATGCCGCACTATGACTGATCATGCCTCGCAAGTAGCCATGTGCCATGGAAGAGCCAAAGGGTGTTCTGTGTCAATTCTGTTGGACGAAGAAAGCAGAAATAATAATCTGGATACGTAAAAGTTCCTACAGGTCTGACCCGCTGTTAGCGTTCCACGTAGCAGCATCACCAAGACACTATCACCAAGCCGCCGAGCAAAAAGTCAGTGGTGGGGTGGGGAAGAGAAGGCCTCTCTAGCAAACCAATCCTCTCAGGTACCGCCAGGCGTACAGCCACCTGCATATGGCCTGCATCGACTAAGGCAAAGTCCAGCGAGGTACAGACTACGACCAGGCACTTGCAGCGCCAGGAGCCAAGATACCCGGCGGTACAAGATGTTGCTGAGCAAACCCAAACCCGGCCATCTCATGGTTCGGGTTTACAGCCTGGCTGCGGTGACTGTCATCAACCTGAAACCCGGCCAAAGCAAACTGGGCACCGGCGTCCCGCAAGGTGTCTCGGTCAAGAAGACGCGTAACTTGTTCCATGAGGAGTGAGAGATCGGGCGGGGTTCCATGGAGGACGGGTGACATCTCAGCCACGATGTGGCAACATGGGAGGAAACGACCGCGGAACAAGGAATGATCGTGGCTGGCGTGGCTGGAAACGATCAGGGGAAGAAAAGTGCCCGAGTGGCTCGTTCTCGCCGACCCATGCTGCCACGCTGTTGGCACTGTCTAGCGGTTGTCAGACAGGGGTTCAGGGGCCGTGATATTCTCGAAGCGGCGACATGCAGAAGTTCAGGTACGGCCCCGCTACCTGGCGAGAGGGGCATACGGGACTCGGATCAGAAGAGACAACGGAACGAGTGTCAGCACGAAAGGCTTCTTGTTCCAACACGAGCCAGGGAGCCGGCTTATCTTGCCACGCTGGCATCTGCCCTTTTCCTTGGTCACTCCAGATGATCTAAATGATCGCGAGAGAAGGTTCTAAAGTGGACAGTGCAAGTGGAATGCTCTGCAAAATCGCAGCTTATCGTCACTGAATGATGGTGTGCCTCATCCATGCAGCCAAAGGTCTTTCGCTCCGGGAGCTGCCAGTGCCAGTGGTCTGGTGTCCCTCAGACTGACCTATTCCGGGCATTGGGTCAGGGTCCAAACTTTCAGGCTCTCTCAGGGGCGTCAGGCCTTGAGTGAGATTTCCGGGTCTTGTGCCACCCAACATTGACATAAGGAGGCACAGAAACAATCTTGTTATGCGTTTTCATGCCATGGAAAAGAAGGTGAAGAGAAGAAAGAAAAGCGCGGGATTTGTCGGCCGATGGACCGGTAGCATCGATACCAAGACCGGGATGGCTGGATCTGGTTAATGGGAACCCCCCAGTCTAGCAGCGATTTGTTTGCAGCGACAAGACGCCATGACGCAATCAACTCTTGATGTATTTTTGACCCCGCGATGGTGCAGGGCGTGAGGGTGGTGAGAATGCCCGAGCGTTGCCCCTCGCAGATGGAGAGCCAGGACAAGCTGTCCGGCTGGAGATGGTGCGCACACTTGTATATTGGCAATAAAAGCTCGTCTATCGGTCGAAATTCTACAGGATGGGGCCAGTCATGCGATTATTTTCTCTCGTGGCGGGAAAGCTCACCGCTGCTCGTGAGCTCGGGGAGACGAGACACAAAGCAGACAGCTTCTCTGCACGGAAAAACAGCTGCGTGGCCGAAACCAGACAAATGCCGTGTCTGGTTGCGTGCAAGGTATAAGCCTCATCGTTCATGCCCCTTCGTTCCTGGGCCCATCATCTTTGATGCTGGCGATTCTTGTCCCCGGTGGCACAGAGGCACAGAGTCGGAGAGAAACCGGTGTGGTGGAATCTGCGCATGTTCCACCTCGCCGTCTATCTTGTCACAACACATCTCCAAAGTCCCTGGCCATCTTTCTTCTCGCAGCTAGCACGACAGATGCACAGAAGTGATCATGTGCATCACGAGGACATGTTCAACAAGTAAGCCCGGGCAGGGTTTAGATTGGTGCTCCCCAGACAAAACCCACACCCAGGAACCAGAATAAAGGACAGGCACAAGCTGCATCCGAATCGCAGGAGAAGCCAGGTACCCGAGGAGCCCGAGCTGCAGTGAGCTAAATTGCCTGTGACTCTGTCGTCGCCTTTCTTTCTTTCTTGTCTCTCCATGGCCCATGGGGCTCTGAACTCGGCCAAGATGGAATCTCGAAACAAAGGAAGAGGCGGTCCATCAAGCGACCTAGAGCTGGCTTGGGTAGCCTAGCCTTTTCCTCCAAAACAAAACCGCGATCCAAGCAAGATTTGCCTGCTGGATGGCTGTTTGCGGTGAGTGCACATGAGCATGAGAGCATGAAGAAGGAACATGAAGCTAGAGGAGGCAGCTTTCCTGGGATCTGGGTTTCTGACTCAGATCAGAGCGTCGCCAGGTGCCCGAATTGTGCAATTGTTGCAGCATTCAACGTCGACATGACAGGTTTGTCCTTTGATAGAAGATGGGATGACAGTAGATGAGTGCCCGGACATTTTCCCCTTGCCTTGGGGTGTCATTTATTCAGGAGTGAGAAAGCTGCCATCATCATGATAACTCATGATAACGGCAGTGGCGGCAAAATCCGAGGCACCATCATCCCCCGTCGCCAAGATCCGTCAGCTATCAGTTAATATGTTGAGAAATTGTCCAGCAGCCATCAAGTCCATGACAATCTTGCCTCTGTGTGCCTTTTTATCTCTTTCGTATCAGCTGCTTCTGACCATCATCAGCATCTGGATATCATCACCGTGTGGGATGGCTGGGACTGCAGGCCCAAATTCCATCCCCACATCTTAGGGCATCATGGATGCTTATAATAGAACGACGGTCCCTGTTGTAGTGGCGTCGGCCCCCTGTTAGCGGGCTTGCCTACCTTGCTTACCCCGCCGTCGTTGCGCATCACCCAACCACCCACCGGGCACCCCTCCCGACCATCAAGAGAAGGTCAGGACTCAGGACCAGGCAGGACAGGGGTAGGGACGGTTTGGAAACAAGCATCCATCGACGAGGGGCAAGTGGACGCCCGCTGGGATGTGAACATTGATGCAAACGGAACTTTTGCCCTGAGCAGAAAACAAAAAAGAGACCATATTGGCAGTTGACAGGCACTGTCCGGGTGCAAAAAAGCTCCCCACCATCTTGATCGGGATTGTCCTGTCTTTGTTCCCCCCTCTCGGATGCTCGAATTCGGAGAGAGCTCGAGATGTTTTGACCTGGCTGTGAGGTATCCGTAGGCCGTAAGCAGCCCCCCACCCAGAGAGAACGGTCAGGGGGGGAAGCAGCCCCCATCCACTGCAGCTCCCCAAGATCCCAAACCAAGAACTTGACTTTCCACCTTGACCTCGACCGTTCATGTTCACCACATTTCTCACCTCTGCCTCAATCCGTGCCGCTGGACCGCCATCTTGCATTCGAACAACCGCCGTCTGTCTTGCTCTATCGGTATTTTTAATCCGGTGTAAGCTGCAAGTGCTGGCCATCGCCGTGCTTCTCCTCCGGTTCTTCAGCTCACCAGGTGTGACAAGCGCAAGACAGTGGACACTGCCCTACCTGGACCAAACACCGTTCCGACCGAGGCGCTACACCACATTCACATCTGGGAATACCACCACTAGCAGTTCTAAAAAAGCGACAGGCTATTCCTCGCAAGCGCATCTTTTGCTTCGACAGTTAACGGGAGATCGTCACGCTCACCCGCCAACCGTTTCGCCATTTTCCACTTTCCACTTTCCGCGGACTGGAACCGTTCTCGAGCCCTGCCACCAGAATATCGCCGCGCATGCACCGATTTGCGGTATAATCGCCATAGT